CATATGTTGGTTCAATAAGCTATAGTGGGGGTTGGTCTGTTGTCTGGGAAAGATACGTGAGTGGCACCACACATCAAAGCTCCATTACTATTTCTATGACTTAAGCCTTATGTTCCTTTCTTTGAAGCTCAGAGCCTAAGGTCAAGGTCAAATCAGAGCACAGGTCAAGGGTCACCACACAATACAGTCTGCTCAGAGGGACAGGTATTACTAGAGGGGTCATAGGGATGAGTGATCCCCTGAGGTGCTGGGGGTTGTAACTTCATGCTAAGGTTTAGGGCACTCCGATTGCTGATGACTGATGTGGATTGAGGTGGGCACTGTTATCAGAGTAGTTATTGAGGGTTGACCAAGTAGGGGGTGGGAGTCCACTCTAAAGGTCATATAGGCTGACAGACAGGCTGAGTTGACTTGGACCATAACCAGGTTGGCAGAAGTCATAGTACTCAACCCAGATGTGGACTTTGCAGTAACAGTGATCACAGAGGCCGCCACAGGTCTTGTTTAGATGACTGTTAGATAAGCCCCTTCCATGGCACCCACAGGGTCAGTCACAGCCAGGAGCAGTTTTTAGACTGCAAATAGAATTAGGTCATATGCCACCATGGAGTCAAAGGTTTAGTGTCAGAGTTGGCATTGGTATTGGAGCGGTACAAGGATTCTCTCAGTAAAAGCAGTGGAAGGGCAGCAGTACTAATAGTAGTGCCCAGCTGATGTGCATTACACACGTCTACTCACATTGCCTGATGGTGGACACAGCCACATCAGAGTGACAACCATACGCATGCCCACACAACTCAAGTTCAGTGGCAGAATCAGAATGATAGTTATGGGGTGAGCTGATCCATGGCAGGGACTGCCAGGCAGAACAGGGCACGGCCTAACCGCACTTTCGGTGAGCACCAGCTGTATGGTGGTGGCAGAGACAAAGTCTAGGTAACTAGCAGGGAGGAGAGCAAGACACCTAGTTTGTTCACCTCACCATCTTTACCATGTGTTCCATGTTGGATAGAGCCCCTGCACTCAGAGGCAAAATGATGCACAGGCAACTGCCCTAGCCATGAGTCATACAGGGCATAGTGGTAGAAGGGGAGTCCCTTGGGGCACACTGGGGGCCTGCATGTAGTGTATGCTGTTTGGAGAAGTTCCCTCAGAGGTTAGTCACACATGGGAACTCTAGAGCCATGGGTCAGATGACAGATGACTTGGTTTTCACTTCTCTATGGCTCTCAAGTGCACCATCCTAGGGTGACCACCATCTCCTTCATGGTGACAATTCCAACTCTCTGAAGATTCCCTCTCCAATCCTCATGGTGCCCCTAAACTGAGATCGGCACATACTACCACTTCCTGGACACCTCATTCTGGTCTGCTTATCTTCATGGTTTTTTGTTTTTGAACAGGGTCTCACTATGTAGTTCAGGGTGGCCCCAAAACCATGATGATCTTTCTGCCTCAGGTTCCAAGTGCTGGGATTAAGGCATACGGCACCACAGCCAGCCACCTTCAGGCCTCTAAAGCCTACCTCCCAAGTGCAGTGAAGCATTCATCAACCCATTGAACTAAAAATGTGCTTAAAATCCAGTTAAACCATGTTAAGTGACTTTTTTTGCTTTCATGCCTGTCCCATCAAACACTGTCAAGAGATATGTGACTGGGCATGGGGCTCATTGGGTCCTTGGTAAATTGACACATGGGTGAAGGCTTGAGCTCACTTCTCCTCTGCTCCACAGCTAACATCAGTTATCAAGCAGAGACTGCCTTCCATCTCACTCCTCTTCCCTAATCAGAGCAAAAGCAATAGCAGCTTTTAGAGCTAATGCTAGGGCGAAAGTGAACAGGTAGTATTAACTGTTGTAACAGTGTACAGGGAAAGACCAGGTTTATGTTTGTTTTGTTCTGGTACCTCTGGGATTAACACTCCTGGCCATGGTCACACAGCTCTCTAGTCCCATAACAAGATTTATGAGGGATGGGTCACATCCAGAGATCCCTTGGTACCACACAGAGGCAACTACAGGAGTAAGAGTCACCAATGCCAGTCATGACAAGCAGAACATGACAGAAGCAGTGACAAAGGTCAGTGTGGTGGTGCACACCTGTAATCTCAGCTCTTGAGAGCTGAGGCAGGACTATTGTCATGAGTTTGAGGCCAGCCTGGGGTACATACTGAGTTCATGGCTAACCTGAACTGTATAGGCAGACTGTTTCAAAAGGGCAAATTAGGAGTGACAGTAAAGATGGGGACAGAGATCAGGGCCACCATGGGAGACTCTTGAGATCTACAGGGGTAGGAATGCAAACCTACAATGGGGACCCACCCAGGTGCCGAGTGATAGGACAGAAAAAGGAGAGAGATGTGAGACAGCTCCCCTAAGATATAGGGGTGGGGAAGGACAGGACAGGGATGGGAGCTCACCACAGGAACTACAGTAAGGGACCATGAAAGGGGTAGAGGGAAATCATCTGTGAAACTGAGCTGCCTGGCCAGCCTACCCTGTCAGACATGCCCACAGGCAGGACTTCACCCTCAACTCCCCAGAGACTTTCTGGCTCTGTTCTGATACTCCAGTGGTCTGGACTGTCTATGAGGATGTGTACCCTGAATCTAATGGTCATTTGGGCTCTCCTCAAGAATGGCTGGGTCCAGAAGTTTAAAAATTATCTGAGGAAGCAGGCTTCGTTTTTTTTTATTTCACACTAGGGCTTGTCTTTACTTCTTTTCTAGGCCTGACTCAATCCTTAGTGAACAGCTTGATCCCTGAGTAAAAGTGGCCCCAGGAAAGAGTGTGCACAGTTGTGGGTAAAAGTATTGGTACATATGTGCATCAGCAGTGACCATGGTCCACTATGTATTCAGAGCGGAGCTGCTGAGCAGAATGTATGATGAAGGGAGGAGGGGCTTGGGTTGCCAATCATCAGGTGAGATGCAAGATCAATACTTGCTGAGCAAGGCTTTAGGTTGGGACACTGGGTCACCTTGAAAGTCATGATGAGGTAGGCAAATACAAAGATTCCTTGTAGGTCCAGTTGGACAATGACATTCTCAAAACCTCAAGGCTTGCAGTCCTAGGACTCAGGAGGTTGGAGCAGGAGAAGCACCTTGAATTCAAGGCAGCCTGAACTACACAGTAACAGCAAGATTCTGTCTCAAAAAATATTTAAAAACCCAGCTCTCCCACACAAACATGCCAGCACCCTCACCCTTTTCTGCCTGCCACCAGGTCTTCTTGCTATCATAAACACGCTGGGAGATCACATTCTAAATGTCATGGCCTCTTGGATTCTAAGTTGCAGACTAAGGTCCTGAAGAAGGGCCCAAGGGGACTGGGCAGGTACAGATTCTCTCCAAAATTTCACAGCACAGGCTGCTCATCCCAGCCCCTAGCAATGATCCAAAACTTAGGACATCCCCAAGAGAACAGTCCCCAGAGCACTTACCCTAGTCCCCTACCTTTGGGTGAGTCACAACATAGCAGGGCTCAGATTGTGGCAGGTAAAGTTTGAAGGCTCTGGCTGTGGTCAACAAGCAGGCTGGGTTGAGTGGGTAGTAACTGTCTCCTAAGCAACTAGGTGGGGGATCTGGCATTTCCTGGGCAACTGTTCTAGAGCCTGGACTGGGAAGGAGTGGGTCTGAGTAGAGATTCTTGGCTCTCAGGAAAAGAGCCAACAGCACCAGTAGGAAAATGGATACAATCCAAATGCATTGGGAGTCCTAGGCACCAGGTATTGAAATTAGGCCTGAGACAGGATCCAGGGTGGGCCCCACACAGGGCTGCCCTTTAGAAGTATGGTCCTTATGTCATTCCCCTATCTACACAATGGAAGAAAGAACACCCAAAGGAAAGTAGTATCGGAGTTGTAGGCTACAATATACCTGGGAATAAAGCAGTCCCCAAAGTTTGGGAAACCGAAGAGGACACTCAGAAACATTAATAGCATCCACTAAACAAAGAGGAACTGGGGGCACGAAGAAGCACGCGGTTGCTTCTCCATAGGTCCACCCCCTTGAGCAACTGATGCTACTGAGGTTCAAATACTTAGAAAAGATCTGATTCTCATTTAAATGAAGTTCCAACTGGCAGCCCGGAAAGCACAGTTTCCAGGTGCCTCCAGGAATGTGTTCCCTCTCCGGAGGCTTGGACCACTGCCACTGAGCCTGAGCAGCCAGCAAAGGACTACAAATGACTGGAGTAGCTGGTTCCACTAGGAGACCACTCCTGCTCCAAAACTGACAATGTATGAAACATGTAGGCCTGATGACAATGAACCTGGAATCCAGGAGGGAAGAGGCGCTGGAAAACCTCCTTGCTCAACTATCACTGGTGCCCTACCCAATTACAAAAATTCTTTGGCCAATAAATAGAAATTTTGGTCTTCATACCCAATCTCTTGCTAACAACTGGAGCTGAGGATAGTTACTCTCAGCAGGGCACAGGCCCCAACCCAGACAAGCCCAAATCTCCAAGTTTTTTTTTCTTCAGATAGGGTCTCACTATATAATTCCCTATGTAGCCTGAGTTAGCCTCGAACTCATGGCAATTCTGCCTTAGCCTCCCAAGTGCTGGGAATACAGGCATGTGCCACCACACCTGGCTAAAAGCTCCAAGGTTTTAGATGAAGAGCTGGCCCAGAGATAAGGGCCATCTGCCTGGCCTCCAGGGAGTTAGAGCACAAAAGGGTCTCTTCCCTGGCCTAGACACTGCTAGCTACAAGGTTCCCCACTGCTGCCCAGTCATCCCATCTAGGGCCTGGGATAGAAATCATGGTGCCTTAAGAGAGACATACTGGTACTGTCTATGTCTTCAGGGAATGCGTCTCGTACCTCTATAGAAGTCAGCACTTGAGTTTCCCCTCATCTTTCCACCGGAGCCTGCAAACTGCCCATACCCACAATCAGCGCATCACTCAAAATGTTCCTGAGCCACTTTCCCTATATGCTCAAGCTGTTGCCAGCGGCCACACACATACGAAAGACCATGGAAGGTGGGCAGGGAGACTGGAAGGTGAAAAGGTATAAAACGTGATAGATGGAACAGTGGACATACAACTTCAAGAACAAGTCACAGTGCATTGTGCCAAGAGAACACCCCTCCCACCACCACCCCACCCCAAATCCTTCAATTTCTGAAAGAAGGCTGGTGCCACCAGGGCCCTGGAGAGATACCCAGTTTTTCAACGTTGCAGAGTCCACAGGCATGGCACACTGTGCCACTGGCCATGCAAACAGCTGGGCTATTTTTCCAAACATTGCTGTATGAAGGAGTCAGGATGTCGAATATGGCATCAATGGCTGGAGCCGTACTACAGGAGACAGGTTCACACGGAGAATCTGCTGGGCTTGCTGCCGAACCTCATCATCTGAGGACTGTCTGTTCACCTTTATGGCACGGAACTTTATTAGCTTTGCTGTTCCTGACCCCAAGCAGGACTTGGGAGACTGAGACTCAAGCCGTTTTTTCTTCTTTGGAGGGAGATCCTTTGCCTCCTCAGCCCTTTTCCTCTTCTGTCCCAGAGTCACAGAGTGACTTTTCTGGGCCTTTCTTGACATGCTAGGCTGAACAGATGCCTTTGGCCTGCCCCTGCCCTTGAGCTGAATCTGAGCCACTTTGTTCCGTGCTGCCTTGGCTTTAGCCTTGTTCCATGCTGCCTTGGCCTTAGCCTTATCCCGTATTGCCTTGGCCTTAGCCTTGTCCCGTATTGCCTTGGCCTTAGCCTTGTCCCGTATTGCCTTGGCCTTAGCCTTGTCTCGTGCTGCCTTGGCCTTAGCCTGTATTCGAGCCACATTGCCACTGTTTTGGGCAGCTTTAGCCAGTGTTCGAGTTGCCTTGACCTGGGCTGTTTCGGTGCCCAGGGTGGAGCCCTCTTTCATTTGCAGACCACGGACAGAGCCAATGGCTTTGCAGGTCTTTCTCTGGGATCCAGTGCCTTGCTGGGGTCCAGCCCTAGAACCTTTGTGAGTCAGACATGTTGCACCCTTGCTTGTGGTTTTTCTAGGAGCTTTGGAGCAGGACTTCTCTGGACTCTTCCCTGAACCTTTCTGCAATTTCAAAGGAGAGTTTGCAAGTGACAGCCGCAATGACTGTGGTTTGTGCTTAGCATTCAAGCAGCGCATAGGATTCTTAAGTGGAACCAGGGCTTCAAGGACAACAGAAAGCCGCATGGCAGGGTAGACACCTGGATATAGGTGGGTGGGAAAACCCATTGTTGCACCCCTGGTTCGGCTGGCACTTGATTGCTTCAGAGAGCTCAGCAACAGGTTGGTAGTAGTATGCTTGGTAAGGGCTGGTGTAGACCCTTTGGCCAGCCTGCCAGACAATGACATAGGAAGCAGGGTAGCTCGGCCTGTGGGCAGGTGCACAGCAGTTTGGGGAGCACTGGCTGGAGGTGATGTGGCAGTTGGGTTGGGGGCACGGGCCTGAAGTTTCGTCTGACTTGGGGGACTGGCCGTGCATGAACTATAGCCATAGACATCACCGCTGCGTAGAATGGTAGGCTGGAAACCATCATCTCTCAGACCCTGCAGGAAGGCCACAAGCTGGGCCTCTGTGGCATTGAGATCCTGGCTCATGGGGTTAAAGACAAGCAGCGCCTCTTCCAAGGCCTTCTTCCCTGCTGTGGAGATGCGTGACCAGGAGTGCACAGCTTTCTCCTCCACATGCTGCACCACCACGCTCATGGCATTAGGCACTGTAGTTCTGCCCGGGTATCCACAAATCAGTGGTTGGCACCTCCAAGGCAAGAAGAAAAGAATCAGTAAGAATGGCACCAAGACATGGAGGCAGAGCAGGTACACAGGTCTCACAGGGTCCCCACTCCCTGGTCAGAGCAAGTTTCGGGGGGGGAGGGGGACCTGGTCTCCTAACCACTACTGCACTGTGGAGGGAAGAGTCAGGTAATTTCTTCAGGACACATTCTCAGTGCACTTCAGAATCACCTAACTGGGGCTGGTGCTTTAGCTCAGCAACATAAGCACCTGCCTTTCAAGCAGGCGGTCGTGAGTTCGATCCCCGGTACCGATAAAAATGAAAAAGACAAAAAACCAAGCAAACAAAAAAGAAGAATCACCTAACTTGCTAGGACCTGGGAAAAATTTAAACCTGGGTTGCTTAAATTTGCTCTTTTGTTTTCAGATGGGATCTCACTATGTTACATAGGGAGGGTGGTCTTTTATTTGTGGATTCAAGTGATTCTTCCAGCTTCCCAAGTAGCTGTGTATTACACACTCCATTTGCATCAATATTTTTTTAAATTTGTGATATATAACAGATACATTCCTCAAGAGGAATTTGTACATGGACATACTGCATCTTCTTTTTTTTTTTTCCCCCGCCTTAAATCTGTATTTTCTGATGCTTAAAACCTAATTAGATGCAATCCTGGAGAAAAAAGGTACACAGCCTCATCCTCAAGAAGCTCAATCCAGAAGACAAGGCAGAGTCACCACTAAGATTCTTTGAAGTGTAAGGCTCAGCTTGTGAACAGGTCAGGAAGGATTTCTGTGACAGAAAAGCTACTTAGGATAAATGACAGATAGAAAAAGAACAAAAAGGGGAGTAGCCTTCACAGTGGCTGTGAAGAAAAAGAGCAAGGCACAATTGCTGTGGAGTCTGGTATCTAGCTAGAAAAACAAGTTACAGGTAGGTCAACAAAGAATGCTGAATATTGGCCAAAGGACACAGATTTATACCTAATGTCCTCGTCCTTATCAGTTCCTCCAGCCGTTGGCGGGGTGTGGCTCTGCTTTCAGGGTTCCTAGACAGTCAACTTGGTAACCCAATTACTAGCTCTAGCCCCAAAGACAAGCTTAAGGTAAAGAGCCATTCTTCACTTAGCTGATGAGCAGCAGTTGTGAACGACACCTAAATAACTAGGCATCCGGGGACCAGGCTGAAAAATCAGAAGCCCACAGTCTGAAGACACAGGAGCTAAATGTTTCATGGGGGATGGCAAGCCAAAAGGACATCTGAGGTCTGAGCTGTTCCAACTAGAGCTTGGAGGACAGCAGGCCTCAGAACAGCCCAGAGTTGTCTAGAACACTTAAATTGTCCCAGACTTCTTTGAAGAAACTGTAGTTGTCAGTCATGACTAACATCTTACACTCAACCCAGCATTTGAGCATCCCATAGGCAAGTGGCAGCTCCCCAGCTGCACTGGAACATTAAAAGATCAGCCTGCATCAGTGAGGTCCCTGGGGCCTCAAGGCCCATCTGTGCAGCTTCTCCCCACCACACTAATGCAGGGAGATGAAGTCTTCTGAATCCCCTGGAGGAAGTGCTCTGGGGCTCCCTGTTTGGAAACATTCTTGGATCCTCAGGTGTCTGAGGTACTTCCCCTCCCCAGAGGCCACTTTCCAAGCACAATTCTTGTACATGACTTTAGTTCTTTTATTTATTTAGCTTTTGAGGGGGTGGAATTCTCGGGGCTGTGAACTGTATGGGGAGGTGGCCTATTTCCCACCCACAATCCCCAACACACATATTGGGGTTGACTGCGGACTCCTCGCCCAAGGCCCCTTAAGGGAGGATCTTCTTGGCTTTCAAGAACCTTCGGAAAGAGGCTGAAGCCGGGACCCCGACTTGCCTTCACACTTGCCTCCGGGGCCACCAGGGGTCGTTGACCGAGACGGGGCGAGAGAGGCAGCATCCAGGAAAACTGGAGTCTGGGGCAGAATGGGGCCCTCGACCTGGGAGACCGCGTCCCTGAGTCCCAAACGGCGGAGAGCAGGCTAGTCAGAGGCTGCGATATGTGCAGGGCGCGCGTTCCAGCTCGACCGAGACAGCGAAGCCCCAGGGTGGGGTCGCTGGTGAGGGGGGGAGGGGGTGGGGGCGGGGAGACTCAGCCAAGCCAACGGAGAACGCGGATTCGGGAAGAGCGGCCCGGCCCTCCGCCCTGCAGCCTTGCCGGCCGCCACTCCGGAGCGCGGTTAGGCCCGCGGCTCTAACCTACCGGCGCCGCCGCGGGGACACAGAACGCGCCTCTGCGCCGCCTCCTCTGCTCCAACATGGCCGCCTGCTGCGCGCCGGAAGTATCCCACACTTCCGCTTCCGGGACCTGGCCCGCCCTAGTGACCCTTGACCCTTGAGACCCCATTCTCCCTCCCCAAAAGCCTTGGGGCAAGCATGTTGGGTACCAGGGAGGACTGCCTGGAGGTGGTGGCTGGGAAGACTGCTCCGAATCAATCTGGTCTAGCATGGGAGATTGAGGAGCATGTGTGCCCTTGGACATAGACCCCAGAAAGCAAGCTAGGATGTAATTGAAGAATGGCACCCTCTCCAAGAGGTGCTGGCAGTACATTACATTTGGGAGCAGCTCTTGAAAAGATCTGGGTCATTTTCCACCCTGGCCTTTCTGAAGCTATGGACAAAGTCCACTTCTCTTAGAGGCACTTGACCAGAGAGGATGCTAGGGAGTGCCTCAGGGTAACCCCTTTGTTTAGCAGTAGAAGTGTCTCCTTGAAGGAGAGAAGCCTCTCTCTTTATGAGAATGAAATCTACTTCACATTCCATGAAAGATTAGTGTGCATACAGAAGCCCAAGGTGATCCACATTCAGTCTGTAGGCCACAGAATTACTAGTGTTGGCCTGACTATAGTCGTCCAGGTATGTGTGCATAGATATAGTGGACCACCCTTGCCAAGCTTCGGATCATCAATGCCACAGAATCTCATCTTTAGTGTTAACATTACTAAATCTCTACACTTTTGTGAGAATGACTGGAATCTCCATCTTTCTGCCTGTTTCCTCCAGCCAGCAGATAGATGGTGGTTATAGAGTGCCTTGCTCCAGCAGCACCAAATAATAGGATGCAGGTCAAAATTATCCCGAGGGGCTTGTACCTGCAGATGAAGGGTCAGAATGGTTTTTGAAGCTCTGACCAAAGACCCTATTTGTCAGGGGGCCCCAAGTCCCAATTGGGAGCATTCATGGGACCATTGGTTTCATGGATGACATAGTGGGTCTGCGTTCTTCTTCCTCTTTTCTGCCTCTGCTTCTTCTTGACACCAGGTCTTGCTATGCAATTCAGACTGGCCTCAAACTCTTGGTAATCCTCCTGCATCAGCCTCCAAGTACCTCAAATACCACTGTGTCTGACCCAACTCTTTTATCTCTCTTCCTCCTCCTCCTGCTCCTCTTCCGCTACTTCTACTTCTTCTTCTTCTTTCTTCTGTGTCACTTTGTTGTGTAGGCTGGCCTTGTATTCACTATTTTGCCCAGGCTGGTCTCAAACTCATGGTGATCTCCTAGCCTCAGCCTCCCAGGTGCTGGAATTTCAGGTGTTTGCCACTATACTTGGGTTTTGGTGTTTTGGGTTTTTTTTGTTTGTTTTTTTTTTTTAATGTGGGATCAAACTTGCGGCCTTGTGTTTGCCAGGCAGGTGCTGTGTCACTGAGCTGTATCTTAGGCCTTGTTTTGGTTTTTGAGACAGGGCCTTGAACTTGCTTTGTAGCCTAGGCTAGTCCTGTGTCAGCCTCTGAAGAGCTGGATTAATGTGCACCACCATATTTGGCTATCTGCCACAACTCTTATACCCTAACCCTCACAGCAGTGCCACATATGGTAGTTGGGGGGCAGTTACAAATCTAGTAGCAATCATGAGAGTGTGGATGGATGCTTCATTTAAGGTATAAGTGGTAGTTTTTCTTCCCTATATGACCTCAGGATCTTCTGACTACTGTTTCCCTGCCTATAGAGGAGCCCCGATCACTAAAATCAAATGCTCACTCCACTCAGAAGTTCCCCAGACCTCACCTGGTGCCACTTAGTTTCTCAGGGCCTCAGGATTCATGATGGAATTCTTGGTGCCTTCTTTAAGCCTAGATGAAGTGTCTAGCAGGAACCACCAAATTTCCTGCTCCTGTAGGTTCAGGGCATCTAGCTCATCCTGCTAAAGAGAAAGGAAGGGTGAAATTCCACAGGTCAGGATGTAATCAGCATTTTTTTCCTTTTGAGATAGGGTCTCGTTATGTAGTTCAGGCTGGCCTTAAAAGTGTCTTGTTAAGTAGTCCACAGGCCTCAAACTTTTAGTTTGTTTTTGAGACAGGATCTCACTATGTAATTCAGGCTGTTCTTGAACTGATGATGCAGCCCAGGCTGGCTTTGAACTCACAGCAATCCTCTTGCCTTGGCTCCCAAGTGCTAGGATTACAGGCATGCTGTTTCTTGAAATAGGGTCTTGCTTGTTATGCAGTCCAGGCTGGCCTCAAGCTCACTGTGTAGCCCAGGTTGGCTTTGAACTTGCAGCAATCCTCCTGCCTCAATCTCCCAAGTGCTGGAATTAGAAGGGTGCACCACTATATCTGCCTGAGTATAATTAAAAAGTCCTAATTTGGCACTTCCAATTGTGGGTGAGCCCTGTCTCTGGCCCTGTCCATGGTTCAGGGTCAGGTTAGTTGTTCACTCACAGGACCAGCCCAACCTTAGCTTTTATCCTAGTGGTTTCTGAAGCCAGCAGTCAACCCGTTGTGTGCAGATGGGGTAGAGCTATGCAAACAGAAGCCACTTCCATGAAGAGATAGAGTTTGGCCTCATGAGATGGCAGTCTAGGTGTATTCTGGAAAGATCTCTCTCTGGTGATGTCCAGCCTAGAGGTCAGGGCAAAATGGAGGGAAAGCTCTAGCCCTTATTTTCTTCCCTTCTAGAAATAGAAGCTGAAAGGATAGGGAAAGAGTTAATTAGCAGTAAGGGTCACGTGGTCCCTAGCTTTCTAAGTGGAGGCTGAAACATCTGTGTGTTGGTCCCAAGAATCCCCAGATGGAACTCTGTGGGAGCACTCATCAGAGCACAGTATGACTTGACCTAGACTTTGGTGGATACTGACTTTATAGGCATAACTCAAATCAGATAGGATGAAGTAGGAAAGACAACAAGATGATCCCAGAATCCAACCCTTATTCTCAATTTGGCATCTTTATAGAGCTTAGTGGACCCTGGACCCACATCTACCTGAGTAGGGAGATCTGGTAGAAATCCAGATGTAAATGCAGTGGCCTGGAAAGAGTGCATCAAGAGGGGGTATGGGTGCTGGTGAGGAAATCCAGGGCTGAATCTTGGACCATTCCCTGGGGAGAGGAAGGAGTGCTTGCAAAGGATTCCTAGAGGCCAGACAAGAAGCAGGAGGAAGCTGAGGTCACAAGGGGGTGAAACTTTGAAGATGTTAACAAGGTTTCAGTCGAGTCAAGTCATGGGGGAACATGCACATCCCACCCCCAGTTTTAGTTTTATAGTAACTTTTCAAGGCAACTTTGGGAAAGAAATGGCAATAGCCTGAATAGGCAGTAGAGGCTATACTATATCCCCAGCCTCCACTCCTCTCATCTTAAGCCAGAGTTGGCCACAAGCAGGCCTAGTACCCTGAACATAGTCACAGAGCACCTCAGGCCCAGAGAAGCCAGGGACTCAGGAGGACCCCTGGCCTCTGACTCTCCTGCCCAGAGCTATTCAAAAATCCTCCTTCCCCCGGTTGAGGCCTGTGGTAGGGCCCATGAGCCCCAGAGGTCCCCCCACCCTGGTCTTAATATATTCTATAGAACCTATTCTGGATTCTCTGTGCAATCTAGCTGGTCATCCTCAATGAGGCTCAGGCCACACCCCGAGTGGCCTCCAGGGGGCGCCTCCGCGGAGCTCTCGCCTCGCAGCTGAGCTCCGCTACGCCGGGCGGGGGCCTGGCCCTGAAGCTCCCAGGTACCGAGGACCAGGGCCCGCGAACCTACGCCTGGTCCGGCTCCTAGTGACCTTGCTCCGTCCAGGTGCTGTTCCTGTCACCGTTGCTTCATCTGTGCCCGTCCCGCACCTCGAGGTCGCCCCGAAGCCCGGGCAGGCCGAGCGTCCACATGTGCGTGGGTTCGCAGCTTGTGCCGGGGGTCGGCGCCCATGCGGGCGCGGCGAAGGCAGAGTTAAGGCGGGAGGAGGATTCCTGGGCCGGGGGAGGGGGGACGAGGGGCGGACCCAACCCGGCCCCGCCCCATGCCCGGGCGGTTGAGGAGTCCTGCGGGAGCCCGCGTCAGCCACCGGAGCGGGAGACGGACCCAGTGGCCCTGCGGCCCGCAGCTCAGGCCGGTGAGTCCCGCGGGAGCGGCGCGCTCTCGGGGGAAGTTCGCGGCGTGGAACGCGGGCGCGCTTTTCTAGACCTGCCCCACCTCTGCGGGTGAAAGTTTGGGGCTAGAAGGCCTCCTGCCAGGTCCTAGGGTCTAGGTGTGGAGCCCTCAGGGAGAGGGGAGGCTGAAGAACTTGAGGCGTCTAGTGTTAGAAGATTCCGGAGTGCAGCAGCTCATTTCTGCAAAAAAGGCCCTGGACCCTTTCACCCTACAGTCTTGTGTTCATGAGAGACCCCAAACCAGTCGCTCAGCTGGACATCAATGAGTCTGCTGGCTTGAGCAGACCCTTAAGGGTGGACACCAAGGGGTAGGCGAAAACTTGTCATCCAGCCCCCTGAATCCTTGGCCTTTTGTTGAGAATGATTAACCCCTATGGAAGTCCCAGTGGTGTTGTGAGGATAACCTGGAGTCTGGCTCCTGGCAGCAGGCGGGGGTCCCTAGAGGGGATCCCAGGCTGCCCGGGACACAGTGGAAGTGTGTAGGGAGGCTTCAGCAGTACCCCTTTCATGAAAAACCGGGCTTGTGAGGGGGAAAGGAAGAATGCTGGGACAGAGAGTCCTTTTCTTATCACCTTATCTCCACCTGGATACAGAGAGACCCAGTTGCTCCTAATTGTTAGAGCAGGAGGTAAAAGGGGCCTCTGCCTAGGTATCTGAGATCTTCCTTCCTTCTACTGTGGAAAGACCATGGTGGTGTGCCAGTCAGAGGGAGTGGTTTTGGGCCCTCCTTGCCCTCAGCTACAAGCTGCTTATCTGTTTCATGAGGGGCCCCTCAGTAAATATGACCCTTTGTTTTTCCTCCCTCCTCCAGGTAGAGGCTAGGTTCCTGGACTGGTCAGATACCACCTAATAGACCTGGCAAAATCAAGATAAATCCCATCATGTCTCTCCAATGAGGTCTGCAGCCTGAGCAAACAGCATGGCCTGCCTCTGGCAGTGAACAACATGGCCACAGCAGGTGGTCGGGCCTTTGCTTGGCAGGTGTTCCCCCCCATGCCCACTTGCCGTGTATATGGCACAGTGGCACACCAGGATGGGCACCTGCTGGTGTTGGGGGGCTGTGGCCGGGCTGGGCTACCCCTGGACACTGCTGAGATACTAGATATGGCCTCACACACGTGGCTGGCACTGGCACCCCTGCCCACTGCCCGGGCTGGTGCAGCTGCTGTGGTTCTGGGTAAGCAGGTGCTAGTGGTGGGTGGTGTGGATGAAGCCCAGAGCCCAGTAGCTGCCGTGGAGGCCTTCCTGGTTGATGAAGGCCGCTGGGAGCGTCGGGCCACCCTCCCTCAAGCAGCCATGGGGGTTGCAACTGTGGAGAGAGGTGAGTGGCTACCTAAAGAAGTTCCTTCAGGCGCCCTAGTATCCTCTGCTCACTCCTGACTTGGTCCCTTACCCACTAAAATTGAACAAGAGCTTTGTTGGATGTGGCCTTTCCTCTTGTATCCTCTGCTACCTCCCTCTGACCTGAGCTTGCAGTAGCCTTCTGTTAACTGATTTTTCTGGCTGAGAAGTGGGGAAAAAACCCAGGCTGGCCCCTGAAGTGATGGGAGACCCCAGCTACCTCCATTTCTCATCTCTAAGAGACAGTGTTTGTGCCTGTGGGGGGAACAGTGGCCTGATAACTCATGGTTATAAATAACCTGAGATGAAGGGAGAGGAGCAGGGCCTTGGCTCAGAGCCCAGTAAGTACTTAACTGTTTAGACTCCCCTCCCTACCCCTCCACACACCAGGGATCCTGATGTGGACAGAAGCCAAGCTGACCTGAAGATGGTTGCCATGGTCCCCAGTTCATAGACACATTACTCCAAGGTCTGCAGCCTACCTCTAGCTCAATCCGAGGGCCTAAAAGAAGGCAAAAACCTACTCTAGTGAAAAAGTGTAGTGCAGAGGTGCTGGCAGGATGATGGGATAAACAGTTGTGGCCAGCCCCTGTATCCTGTGGTTCCAAGCCCCTCTGTAAGCCTCACCTTGACCCCCAACTTATCCCGAGTCCCTTCCCCAGATTGAGTTCCATGCTAACCAAATCCCTATAGGCCCCAACATTCATGTAAGTCAACCCTCCCCCATCATCAGGGGAGCCCCACCTTGTGGCCTCCAGGTCTGACCACTGGTCCCAACCAGCCAGACTTGGTTGCCATAGCGTCTCCAGGGAGACAAAGCTGGATTATAATTTTATCAACTGCCTCCTGCTCTTCACTCAGAAGGGCCCCAGCCAGAGAAGGAAGCACTCTCACCTTCCACTCCAGATAGGTTTGAGGGTTTCAGACAAGGATATGGACGTCTAGCCACACCTGTCTAACCAGGGAAGCTGTCAGGGTGGAGTTCCTTGCAGGCTGGGGTGTAATCTGAATTACTCTTTTCTATACAGACGGTATGGTGTATGCTTTGGGGGGAATGGGCCCTGACACGGCCCCCCAGGCCCAGGTACGGGTGTACGAGCCTCGCCGGGATTGCTGGCTTTCACTACCCTCCATGCCCACACCCTGCTATGGGGCCTCCACTTTCTTGCATGGGAATAAGATCTATATTTTGGGTAAGTGCCTAGAGGATGTGGGAAAAGGGTTCAGAGTTCAGAAGTCCCCATCCCCATAGTTTGGCTGGGTTAGGATTCAGGCGTAGTCTGAGACAGCAGGACTTGAAAAGCTGTGTTGCTGTGTACTCTGAGGCTCTGATCTCTGGTGGCCCTTCTGGGATTGGGAAACCAAACCCCAGCGCCTGAATGTCTGTGGGGTAGATAGCCTACATATGCTTGTACAAACAGGTGGGCATAGGAGGCTGAGGCAGACAGATCAGCAATCTGGAGAGCAAGGAGCCTAGCGAGTCCAATGGGCTGCCTCCCAGCTGTCTCAATTCCATTGACAGGGGGTCGCCAGGGCAAGCTCCCAGTGACTGCTTTTGAAGCTTTTGATCTGGAGGCCTGTACCTGGACCCGGCACCCAAGCCTGCCTAGCCGTCGGGCCTTTGCAGGCTGTGCTATGGCCGAAGGTAGTGTTTTTAGCCTGGGAGGCCTGCAGCAACCTGGACCGCATAATTTCTACTCCCGCCCACATTTTGTCAACACTGTGGAGATGTTTGACCTGGAGCATGGTGAGCAGTGGCTGTCCTGGGCTGTCCTCTTACTCTCTGCAGTATGGAAGGATATTGTATCTGTGTGGCTAGATGTGATTTTCCCTCTCCTGCAGGGTCCTGGACCAAGCTACCCCGCAGCCTACGCATGAAGGATAAGAGGGCTGACTTTGTGGTTGGTTCCCTTGGGGGCCACATCCTGGCCATTGGGGGCCTTGGTAAGTTTCTGTGGGACTCTGGAGAAGGGGGCCCAAATAGGGAAGAGTCACCCCTAGCAGGAATACTTCCTCCTCAGCCACTGCAGAGGTGTCAGGGCTTTGTTGAACTCTTTACCCACAAATCATGCAAGTTGTATCTGCCTGGCCCAGCTCTCAGAGTCTCCCCCAGTGCCTCTGCATCTACAGGTGTCTAGGAGACAGTAGGAAGATTGTATGCATGGCCTATTGGACAAATCAAAATATGAGTGAATGGATGAATGTGCAATGAAGAGAAGACCAAGACACTGAAAGCCCATCATGGGGTGATACTTACTGGGCTCTTCTCTGGGCTTAGGGAGCAAAAGATCTGGAGCCCCTTACATATAACCATCTATCTCTCCTTCATGCAGGAAACCAGCCATCCCCTCTGGGCTCTGTGGAGAGCTTCAGTCTTACACAGCGGCGCTGGGAGGCACTGCCCGCCATGCCCACAGCCCGTTGTTCCTGCTCTAGTCTGCAGGCTGGATCCCAGATATTTGTTATTGGGGGTGTGGCCCAGGGCCCCAGTCAAGCTGTGGAGGCACTGTGTCTGCGTGATGGAGTCTGAAGGCCTGGTGGAACTTGTCTTTGGAGCAGCTCAGTGCATAAGTAGATGCCTGTGGCTCCTGTTGCTCCTGGGGGAGCTCCCTGCAGCTCCGTGGGATGAGGGAGGCACAGAGGTGTACACTTGAACTACTGTCTCTGGTATTTTGGTTGGGGAGCCTTTGTCTTTAGCACAGGACACACATAAGCTCACACCTACCTTTACCACCATTCACTCATGACTACACCTATCTCTGCCCCTGCCCTGAAGCCCACTAGGCCCTCTGACCAGTTAGGAAGTGTGGAGATGGAAGAGCTACCATTGTACCCTACAGGACAGTCCTTGTCTAGAGTGACCAGGCTACCTCTATGGCTATTCCTGAAAAATCCTAGTAGCCAGTCTGTCTTGAGGGTTCCTGTAGTCCCAGAAGTGTTCAAAGAAGGTTCAGAACACAGAAGGAATGAAATAAAGGATGTGGGAACCACCGGGGCCAAGAGGAATGCTGGCCTTGGGCCCTCTACACTGCTGTTGTATGACCTTGGGCAAGTCATTTTATCTCTGTGCCTCAGCATCCTCATCTGTCAGTGGGGATCTCACAAACCTTCCTGCCCTACCTACCTCACAGGGCTGTTGTGAGGACCCAGGGAGGCTCGCTGTAGAAGTAAAGGTTCTGTTACAATCTGGTGTGGGGCTTCTGGTATGGACTCCCATGTTGTCCTCAAGCCTCTGCCTTCCTTCAGGGACCTTTGCTCTCCCATAGATGAGGGTCCCCCAGAAGCTTTTTGTATCTGGCCTCTGTCCCCAAAGTGATCTCGTAGCTCTGGCCCATGTAAGCCTCAGCTTTGCCTTGGATAATGTGGCATAATAGTACTCCTCTACTCTTAGGAATTGGGAACACCAATAGGAAGAAGAGACACGAGCTCAGAAAACAACAATAAAACTACAGACATAGAATAGTCTCTGGTTATTCCCAGTGTTACACAGTGTCTCCTCCAGGCTTCTGCTCACCCCTGGGAGGGTTAGCGGAGGTGATAGCCTAGGCAGTCTCCCTCTGTCAGCTGTGGGGAGCCACCTCTAGGACAGAATTGGATGACTGCCCACCTAACCCTCCTAGGCCTCCTCCTAAAGGAAGTTGCCAGTCTTTACTGCCGCCTCTAGCTTTTTTTTTTTTTTTTTTTTAATTCTATCCTAGGGTACCCAGTGCCTTGAACATGCTAGGCAAACACTGTTACAGCTACACCATCAGCCCTTAGTTTTTTGGTTTTTTTATTTGAGACAGAGTCTCTTAAGTTTCCCAGTTTGGGCTGGAATTTGTGCTCCTCCTCCCTTGACCTCTTGACCTCCTGAGTAGCTGAGATTATAGGGAAATACACTCTGGTCTTTGATGCCCACTAGTAGAAGTGCTCACTCTGCTTTCCTTGTAGCTATGCTGAGTACAGGGTTTCCAGCTGTTTGCCAAAGTTGTGGACAAGTATATGGACCCACTTGTTGTGTTGGTCATGGCAGCTTTCCTGGATGCTGGGCCTCTTCCAGGCCTTACCCTTTCTCACCTAGTGGCAAAACTCCCATGGCAGTACCTCCCCAGCCCAGCATGGGCACACCATAGACACGAGTCCTGAGAGAGAAGACTCTGGCCTGCACACAACTGCTCACTGGCCCCTGAGGTGTCTTGTGCTGCAAGAACAGGCAGGCTGTGTGTCAGCTGTCCTTGTTTAATGCTCAGGACCAGTGTAGGCACTCATAGACCCCAGGATGAAGGTAGTGCTGCAATAGCTTGGGTCTTGGGGTCGCTGGGAGGTCAGGTAGGGTGTCCGTGACAGGTAATTGGGGCCCTATCTTGTCACTGCCACAGCGTCCAGCAAAGGATGGGTGGCAGAAGTTTCTCTGATAGGTAGTGCTGGCTTGGCGAGGCTGGATTTGCACAAAGTGAACAAGACGCTGTGGGAGACTATCAAGTCCTGAGCCTGGCTGGAAATCAAACTGGTAGGAAGATCTCAGGGGCCGCTGCTGGTTCAGCTCTAGCTCACAGGGTGCCCAGCGCAGGAAGGTGTGTGGCTGCCACAGGCGCTTCAGGTCTTTCTGTCGTCCGATTCCCTGCAGCAGACAGTAGGGACCCTCCCCAGTGGTACAGGCCCTTAGTTCACATCCTAGCATCAGGCATCTCCCTGGGCCCTGTCTCATCTCCTCTAACCCTAAATCTGGTGATGCCTGGCCTGTGCGGGACCTCTGTGGCCCTGCCCTGGCTTCACTGGCTGCCTCAGTGATGCCATCTATTCCAATGTGAAGCCCCTGAGAATATTTCGTGTACTGACAGGGAAGTTGGCTGAGGGAACCCATCACAGAGGTGCCTCGGGAGTGCACGATTTGGGGGGGGGAATTGTGGAGGAGAGAAGTGCTCCCCTGCCTTTTTAGGGAGTGTCCCCTCCCTTCTTGTTCTTTTCCCAGCCACTATACCACCTGCTCTGCCCTCAACTTCCCCGTAAACCAGACGACTGTCCCCTCTCCTTCCTAGCACTCACTTGGTCATAGGAGGTGCGGTTGTCATGCTCGGAGAAGAAGTGTTGCTGTGCTGGCACCTGGAAAAACAATGGGGAAAAAAGGAATGCTACTTATTCCCCCCACCCCACCCCCATGTTGCCTCAGGGCCCTGAATGGAGGGAAATCACCCCTACACTACTAGAATGGTAACACCCTAAAAGTTCAGAGGCAAATTAAAGCAGTACCTCACTCCTGGGGTCCCTTGTCCTAAGTAAGAAACCTTTCAAGCTGGGTTGAGGCACCTGTGGGCTGCCCCTCCATGAGAAGGCCTTTTAACTCTAGATTGCCCAGGACTGGGTTTCAGTCTTCTCTTCTCCCTCCATCCACACTTACTCCCTTGACAGTACAACCATATCCTGGGCCCTAAATGCCATCTGGAAATGAACATGTCTCTAGCTTAAAGTGATTCCCAAATCCCAGGACAATAGCCAACTGCCTTCTCCACATTTCTGTGTTAATGCCAGATAGAACCTCTCTAAACACATGGCTGAGCTTCAGATCACCCCCCAAGACTCATCTATAGCATCCCCTAGCTCAGGCAGTGATGGCTAGATCCTGCCAAACACCTCAGAGTCCCCTTGGTTCTTTTCTCTCACATTCTACATCTAATGTGGCAGGAAAGGCTGTTGGTAATTCCTTTGAAGTGTACTGAGGAATTACAGCGACTTTCTCTAGTAAAAACCATTTTCCTCTGTTGCCTAGCTTCCTGCCTAGTGTTCCTTTTTCAAACTTAACACTCTATTCTGTCATCCTTTAGCAGCTAAAATTTTTAGCACATGAATTCAGTCACCTCTCTGCCAAACGTTTACAGCAGCTCCTCATGTTTGTAGCAGGCAATGGTGTCATAGTGGTCAATAAAAACCACAAGCTATTGACCCTTCCCTATTGGTCCTACTTCTAGCCACCTGGGCCTCCTCCCTGCTCCCAAACATGCCAAGGGTTTGCTTCTCAAGCTTTTGTACCTCCCTCAACTAGCAAAAAATTTCTTCTCTCAGGAAGTACTTTGACCACTATGGGAGTAATCCCAGGTTCCCAACTCTATTTTCCACCTCCTAACACCCTATGGTTATATATTATGTTATTTCCTATTATCTGATCACCCCACTGCATAGAATATAAGCTCTTTAAGGGAAAAGGTTATTGTCTGTCTTGCTCACATCTCTAACTTCAGCACTGAGAACAGTGCCTGACTCAGTAAACACTTACTATTAAACCAATGAATGTAGTTAGAAGATCCCAGCCCTGCAGTATTTTCTCGGGCTTAGTTGGGGCCAGAAAGCCTATTCCCAAGCAGAGAAAGATCCTGAACTACTAAGGTTTCCAGATCTTGGCAGGAATGTCTCCCAAGCTCCTTGTCTTTGTGCCTGGTGTCTGCCCCTAGTGCCATCCCTCCCCATCCATTTGGATTCTCCTGTTACAGAGGTGAAGAGGGTTGAGCTGGTGAAACAGGCTTAGCTGGGGAAGTACAAGCAGTGGCTGACAACAGATTCCCAGATAAAATACAGGGGCCGGGGCCTGGGATATAGCTTAATAGAGTACTTTTTTTTTTTTTTTTTTTTTTTTTGTACCAGGGATTAAACTCACAACCTTGCGCTTGTCAGGCAGGCACTTATGTTGCTGAGTTAAGTCCCCAGCCCCTTAATGGAGTACTTGCCTAGCATACTTGAGGTTGCTAGCTTTGATCCGCAGCACTACACCACTTCCATGCATGCACACTCATGCACACACACACCAAGGGCTGGCTCCATCCCATTTCCCTGAATCAGTAAACATAAAGCTATAGTATGTCTTTTATATAGTCTCCCATTTTGGGACCTGCTGCCATACTACAGTGGCAGTATCTAAACAGAAGTTAAACTCTGTGATGATGGGAAACCAGCCAGCCTTAACTTTCATTCCTCAGGAAGCAAGGTGACAAAATAGAAACCCAGGGCTCAGTAGTAGAACATGGGCATGGCACGCGCAAGGTCCTAGGTTTAATCTTCAATACCAAAGCAAACAAATAAAAAAAAACTTCCAGGACTCTTTTAGGAGAAAAAAAATCTTCAGAATCTGAATCTAGGTAAAAAGTTTTCAGACTTGAAACCAAAACAAAGAGCCATAAAAAAAATTAATTGGGCTTGTGAAAACATTTCAAAAATTTTCCTATGAAAATTTGTGTGAAGAGCATGAAGAACTACAGACTGGGAGAAAAAAATATTTGCAAAGTCCATATGTAACAAAAAACTAGTACCTAAAATATATAAAGAATTCTACTATCTCAACAATAAAGTAATCTGACATGAAGCTATTTCACCAGAGAGGACAGACAGGTGACAAATAACATCAAAGTCATTAACTAGTAGAGAAATGCAAATCAGAACCATAATGAAATATCACCACTGTCTATCAGAATGACTAAAATTAAAAATAGAGACAACACCAAATGTTAGTGAGAAAGCAGGGAAACTGAATCATTCATACATTGCTGGTGGGAATGTAAAATGGTACAGCCACTCTGGAAAACAGCTTGACAGTTTATTTAGAAAACTAAGCATGCAACTACCATATGACCCAGCAATTGTATCTCTGGGCATTTATCCCAGAGAAATGAAAACTCATGTTCAACCAAGAAAAAAATCCATTCCCAAATGTTCATAGCAGCTTTATTTACAAAATCCAAAAAACTGGAATCACCTCAGATATCTAATATTGAATGGTTAAACAAACTGGTACATATGTGGCATGGAATATTACTCGGCAATGAAAAACTATTGATACGTGCTTGGATGACTCTCTAGGATATTACCCTGAACAAGAAAAATCGATTTCCAAAGGTTGCATGCTATATTATTCCATTTGTATAGCATTTTTAAGTGATAAAATTTTAGAAATAGATTTACAGGGACAGAGAATTGTGAAGGAGTGGAAGACACGTAGACATAGAGATAGAACGACAGCACCAGTGATCCTTGTTACATTGGTCAGAGTTTAAACTGTGGAGGTGGAGAGATGAACCTACACAGATAATAGAATTTTGTAGATCTTACTCACAAATAAGTGCAAGGGGGCTGGGGATTTAGCTCAGCGGCATAAGTGCCTGCCTTGCAAGCAGTCAGTCGCGAGTTCGATCCCCGGTACCGATAAAAACGAAAAAGACAAAACAAAACAAAACAGATAAGTGCAAGCAAGATGAAATCTGGGAAAGATTGGTGGGCTGCATCAATGTCAATCAGTGTATCAGTGTCCTGCGTGAAATGAGATTTTTCTTTATTGTTCCTGATTACTGCTTCTAAGTGTTTAATCATCTCAACAAAAGTTTTAATTCTGAAAAATCTGGGAGCTGGGGACAAGTTCTAATGACCTTCCAGGTTCTCACCTGTGTCAGTGTCCTCAGAGCTGTACACAGCCCTAGCATGAATCCTCCACTGTTGTGGGCTGCTCTGATACTCAATATGCCAAGAGTGGCAAGATAATGTTGACTTCCACTGATTCAAATTTGCTCTCTCAAAACTGTGGGAGCCTGGTGCGAAAAAAGTCGTTTCCTCTGTAGCCTAGGCTCTTCTGGGTATTCTTGCCACTGAGAAGTATCACTTGCATCTTTGATTTTAAAATGTTCCAGGGTGGGGGTGTTCGATGCAGGTGGTGAAATCCATGGGTTCTAAGCATCTGGGTCTAGAGCTCTGATCCCCTGCTTGGGAGGCCTTGAAGGACAGAGGCAGGATTTATATGTGGATGGCCAAGGGCCCTGTAGAGTCTGGGCACTCATAGTCAGTGGGTGCTGGGAGACCAAGGCATGGGGTACACAGGGGGCAGAGCAATTTTGGCACTGCAGATAAGGATCTGCCACCATTTATAAGTCCCTCGGTCCACTGGTTGACTTTAGGAACAAAGAGAAACAGGGTTACATTTCCCAAGAGTCAAGCAAATGAAGGCTAGACTAAATAGATCAATATAGTTCAGAAGAAAAATGAAAATGAGAAAAGAATTTTCTTGCATTTGAATGTCACAGACAAAAGTTTTACCTCCCCCAAAGGAAAATAGATGCCACATCTTAGACCGCTGCAATCAGCCAGCTGAATCCATTGGTTCCACTGGTGAAAAAGTAAAATGTGTACCTTCCTTGAGCAGTCTTATTAATGAAAACAGCTCCAAATCTAGAAAGAGCCATGAGACTTGACATTTATATAACCTAAGCCCAAAACATACAGATCGTGCTATTTGGAGCTGCTGATAATGCTAGTTAATTCTGCAACTCTTCAGTTTGACCAGCTACTCTCAAAAATGAGGTGGCTCCTAGCTGAGGGTGGTGGCACACTTGTAATCCCAGGACTTGGGAACCTGATGCTACATGGTGAGTTCAAGCCCAGTCTGGACTACATAATGAAACACTGTCTCAAAAAAAAAAAAAAAAAAGAACAAAAAAAGTGGCTCCGTGGAGCCGGGTGTGGCGGCTCACGCCTGTAATCCCAGCACTCGGGAGGCTGAGGCAAGAGGATCATTGCAAGTTCGAGACCAGCCTGGGCTACAAAGTGAGCTCAAGGCCAGCCTGAACTGCATAGAGAGACCCTGTCTCAAAAAAGACAAAAAAAAAAAAAAAAAAAAAAAAAGTGGCTCCTAATGGGTAGGCCAGAGCGCATTTGGGCCTGGCTTGGAGGCAGTGCCAGGCAGTCCTTTCAACCGGATATATCAACATACTAAGGAGATTCAGGTTGTACAACATAGCAGCCTCCAGGATCCTGCTCTCAGCCTACGAAAATAATTCCTGAAAAATCTGGCTGGCAGATCCAGTAGGACCTGACAAAAAGCTGGGAAGCAAGATTGCTGGAAAGAAGCATATTTAGGTACACTTTAAGTTCCTCTGGGCTTCTCTCTTGCTTAGGAGGTAGCTCTGAAAGCACACATCACCAGGCAGTCTTTGGTGGGGGGAGAGAGGGAGAGAGAGAAATTTGTTCTTATTCCCTGCCAGGCCAGCTCTCACCTGGATATGCCCCTCTACTCAGAATCACTGCTGCTCTTAAGGTGGTTTGCTCCATACCTCTCCCTTCTGAGCTATGCTTCTCTTTGTCACTTCGGGTCCAGCAGTACTGACCACCTAATTGTTACTAACCCATGATACTACCTTTTCCTGAGACTGCTACAGCCATTCTTTGTAAACCCATCTTCTTGAGTGATACTATTTGGGGTATGTTTTTTACTGTTAGAACCCTGGATGGTGATATGTTGTGCCTTCTCCTTGTCTTCATGGCTGTAACTAGTGGAGGGCTTGAGCCCAGCATCCCTCTATTCCCTGGAAACTTGTTCTGCCTGCTCTGGGATGCCTCTGCCATCATTCTCTTCCATTCTTCCCTAACTAGATGTGTGAGCTGGTATCCAGTCACCTCCTATATTACTTCCTCAGCCAGTTAAAGGGGCCTACCACTCATTCCCAAGGCTCTGGACTGTAAGGCTATCTGTAGGCTGACACTGGCCTTTCTGGCATCAGGGGATCTGAGCTAGAGGGTAGTTCAGCAAACTCAAGGCTTCCTTCCCACCTTATGAAGGCTTTCCTTCCGTAGTTCTACCAACCCCTTCTGGGCTCAGATCCTTTGGTCTACTAGGGGCAGTGAACAAGAATGTCTAGCAAGATTGTACCTGCTCTTCTCCACCCTGTCATTAGAGGAAATGTGTGACATTTCAGAGAAGAACCAAGCTTTCTGTCTGTTTGTCCCAGGGCTACACTGTTTGTCAGGCTGATTCTGAAAGGGCTAGAATGATGCTCTTGGGGCTGGGAGAAGTGAGGAGAGTCTCTTGTACCTGGCATCGCTGCAGGAACGTTGCTGGAGGTTGAGGCTTGGCAGCACGGCGATACTCTCCAGCACTTTCACTCTTGACTTGGCCTCTAAAGTGCCCATAGAAGCCACTGTTGTGCTATAACAAAGCAGTCATGAGGATAAAGCCCACTCACACCTGTCCTCAGTGCATCACCTGAGCGTTTCACAGAAGCCAGGTCAGAAGTTCTCCACTGGAGTTTCTAAAGAATAGAAATAATCTGAAGAGGTGGAACACCTCTCAGAAAACCCATTATGGGGGCAGTTTGCCTCAGCTGTGTTCACCCACCTGGAGGGCTGTGGGACCCAGGGGCACCATTTATTCAGCACAGATTTCTGTGGGAAGGGCCACTGCCCAGTGGTGTGGTTCTTGTCTAAGGAACATGAAAGAAAGCCCCCATTTGTTTTCTGCCCCACAGTGTTGGTAGTGGATCATGGGTCCCCAAAAATCAAGCGTCATATAGACCCTTCTGCATCTACAGAAAAAATTGTGAACACCCATACTCCCTACTTGGGCATGCTCTGAACTTCGAACACCAAGGCAAGGGAGAAACTTTCCAAATGAAGTATTTAACAAACAACATTGACAAAAGATAGAAATGAACACCTATCAGGAGTCCAAGAAAGGATCGTACTGTGCTGATGTCATTGGATGGACACCTCACGGAAAATATAGGAACTCAGATGGCCCAGTATATCTGTGCTGAGTTCTCTTAAGGACTGTCCTGGTCCTCCAGAATCACAATCCTGTGCAAGGGAACTTGTCCTGGGTCTGGCCTCTGGTCACCAGAGTAGCCTCCTCGGTAGGCCTGGGAAGCCATATGTGTTTTTCACCCAACTGAAGACAGGTGACCTTACTTATCTGTGCACCCTATTATTAAGAACCATTTTCTCTCTAGTTTTGTTTAATAGTATTTACTGGATTGCAGGCAAGGAGCTGGGTTCAGGAAATGAAAAAAGGGTAAAAACCACAATTATTGACCTGAGATATTCCCAGACTAGAAAGCAGCCAAAATCCAGACATCTGGAAGGCGAGTTCAAATAGTGAAATGGGAATAAATGGGTGATGAGAGAACTAGGAGGTTAAGCTGGTCAACCTCATATTCAGGAGTTGAGGAAGCCTGAGAAGGACCAGGATTTCAGGAAGACCAGGCAGGCTTCAGGGTGATCTGAGAATGGAAGAGGGTAAGAGAACATCTCGGTGTCCTCCACCAGCCTGGATGCTGGATGAAGCCTTCTTACTTCACTTACGACTCAGATTTTATGTACAATCCCAGGGCCCAGGACCAGAGTTAACTATATAGTATACTCTTACCCAGGAGCCTATTAAAGCACTTTCCATCTTTCCAGGAAGGAAGCAGAAAAGGCAATTTTTCCTCTTGCTGAGGCCACATCTGAGGAATGAGAACCTCAAGAGGCCAATTTCTTGTTGCTTAGCAACGAGAGGAGGTTGTGACTACACAATACAGCTGTTTATTGAGACAGCCCCTGACCTGTTCCCCCTTTGTCCTTGCTGCTTTGTTTTTTCTTCTTTGTGAGAGAAATTCTTGGCATGTGAACCTGGGAGAGCCCTTCTGTAAACACAGGGTTCCACGTGGATTCTGATAAGATTCACAGTCAGTGAAATATTAAAAAACTGATGTCAATAATTGTGTACACCTGTAATCCTAGGCAGGAGGATCTCAGGTTGGGGCCAGTCTAGACTGCACAGTGAGTTCAAGGTTTCCCTAAACTACATAGTAAAAGGCTGTCTCAAAACACTAAAAAAAAACAAAAAATTAGACTTTTAGAGGCAACTCCTACATTTAAAAAACCTATGCAACCACACTGCCAGGGCTATAGTTTTTTGTCTTTTTAAGACAGGATTTCACTATGCAGTTCAGGCTGACCTTGAATTAACTTTGTAGCCCCAGCTGTCCTTGAATTCACAATGATTCTTTTTTTTTTTTTTGGTACCAACGATCGAACTCATGACCTTGCACCTTGCCAGGCAGGCACTTATGCCACTGAGCTAAATCCCTGGCCCCCACAATGATCTTTTTACCTCAGCCTCCCAAATGCTGGGATTACAGGCATCAGCCACCATGCCCAGCATCAATATAATTTAATTTAGTTAATTTATTTTGGTACCAGGAATTGAACTCAGGACCATGTGCTTGCCAGGTCTACACTGTGCCGCTGAGCCCTAGCCCTAGCCAGGGATATAAATTGAGAAAGCATTCCACAGATTCAGAAATGTTAAACAGGTTAATGGGTCTTAGTATAAAATTGCTGCTTCAAAAAAGGCTCTGCCAACTTTTCCCTTAGAAATTTGTGTGATTGGTAATGCTAAATGTGAATATGACAAGGACTTGAGTGCAGAAGGAGAGCATAACAGAGTAACATGAGAAAAAATATGCATGCAAAGATTTAACATACTAGTTCCATTCTGAGCTATCCTTGGACAAGTTCTTGACATTCTCTTTTATTTGTTAATAGAGATCTGAACAGTGGGCAATCAGCCTCTAAAAATGTGCCTATTTTTTCATAGGTTTTTTCACCTAACAGCCAGGTGTGGTGGTACATTTTTGGGGAGGGGGTACCAGGGATCGAACTCATGACCTCACAACCTCAAGCTTGCCAGGCAGGCACTTATGCCACTGAGCTAAATCTCCAGCCCTGGTGATATACATTTGTGATCCTGTGGATTTGGGAGGCAGGATTGTCACAAGTTCAAGGCCTGTGTGGGCTACATAGTGAGCTCACAAAATGTGCATGTCTGTTTGATAACAATAAATACCATCTTCACAGGCACTGCAAATTGCACAATGAAACTCTGTCTCAAAAAAAATCACTAGCAAACATTCAGATTCTGTTGGTGGCCCTGAGGCAAGCCCTAATGTTAAGAAAATGTACATTGGTCTAACTGTCCCATAGAGCAGATAGGACCTATAATATTGAAATTATCCAATATTCTTGGGACCACAAGTGTTTTAGATTTCATAGCATTTGAGGTTATTGAATATCGGCCAGGATGGTGATGCTTAGCTGGTATAAGGAGTGCCTGTAATCTCAGCACTTGGGAGGCTGAGGTAGGAGAAATGTGAGTTCAAGGCCAGCCTGAGTGAATTCAAGGCCAGGCTGAACTACATAGTAAGACCCTGTCTCAAAAAAAATATCCGCATGTATAATGAAATATCTTGGCTAAGAGATGGAATCTAAATATGAAGTTTATATTTTATATATACCTTACACACATAAACTGAAGGTAATTACAAGGAAAATATGTATACGTATTTGTATACATATTGTGGCACTGAGGATTGATCCTAAGGTCTTTGCATTGAGACATATTCCTAGCCTACTTTTATTTTTTTGGATAGGGTCTTGCTAAACTGTGTCCAGGCTGGGTTTGAACTTGCCACCCTTTTGTCTCAGCCTCTCAGAATACTGGGATCATATATATAATTTATGAATTATTTTATTGGAATCACTCTACATTCCCTAGGCTGTCCTTGAACTCCTAAACTCAAATGATTCTCCTGCTGCAACAGGGACTACTCAGCATACACTACTACTCCTGGCTTTAGTTTTTTAGAGCACCTGAGTTGTAACTATTACCAATCCCATGAGTTGTGTGGAATGATCCACTTATGGAATTATGTTGGCACTCAAAAATTTTCAAATATTAGAATATTTCAGATTTCGAACCTGCAGATAAAGGATGCTCAACATGTATGGGAGAAAAACTAAGCATCCTGATAAGGAAAACATTGGGCTGTAATCACAGTGAAATACTGGATTGACTACAAAGAAGCATTGATAATTAAATGAGAAAATGTGCATGTCTCCTTGATAACAATAAATACCATCTTTGCAAGCATAAACCACATGCAGGTAAATGGAAATGCTGCATGTAACTGGCCAGTTTGCATAGCCCATGGAACACCTGTACACACAGGTTTCCTAGTTCTGGTACCACTAGCTTGTGACAGGTACAGTAGGCAGAGGTAGCACTGCATTGTACCCTCCACTAGTTTTGTTGTTTCCCACAGAGTTCTTGAGCAGTGCACAATCAGGTCATGAAAAATATCATCAAACCTCACATCATAATGTTAAAAATTTATGATCTTATGAGGCCACATTATTAGCTGTTCAGGGCCATGAGTTGGACATAGCTACTTTTAGTTCATAAATTTTTATACACAAATAAAACATGAAATTATTTTGCATGTCTGTATCATAAATGATACCCTCTTCATCTTTCTACAACTTGGCCTTTTCTTTCAGTATTGGGGATTGAACACAGGGGCTGGAATATGCTAGGTAGGTGCTATGCCACTGAACCACATCCAGCACTCTTTTTTTTTGGACTGGGGATTAAACCCTGGACCTTCTCACTAAGCTACTTCCCCAACCATTTAATAAATTGTTTTGCTAAGTGTGGGAGTGCACATTTGTAATCCTAGCATTTGGGAGGCTGAGACAGGAAGATTGCTGCAAATTCAAGGCCAGTCTGGGCCACACAGTAAATTAAAGTTCAGCCTGGAATACATAACAAGACCCTGTCTCAAGAGACAAAGAATGATGTGAGGCAGGATCTCACTAAGTCACCAAGTTGCCCAGGCTGGACTTGAACTTTTCTTTTTTTGGTACCAAGGATTGAACTCAACACCTCGCGCTTGCCAGGCAGGTGCTTATACCACTGAGCTGAACTTTTATTTTCTGAACATATTTTATTGGTACATTTAGGTATATATATAATGATCATATTCATCATAGAGAATTTGTACCTGTACCTGATATAACTTGTAATCCTTACCCTCCCTTCAACTTCTTCATTTATCTCTTTTTCTCTTTTTTTTTACTTTCCCCTTCTTTCCTTCCTCACCCACCTTCCATTGTTCCCCTCCCATTTGAACATTTTTTTCCTATTTCACAATAACAACTATATATTTTGGTCCTTATTTACACTTTTGGTTTCTAACACTACAGAAACAGTAGTGTATTTACATATGTGTATATTGGAGACCCTTTACATGGCACAAGTTTTTGGGAACCCCTGCCACGAGTCCCCAGTCTCTTACCAAGTGTTACAGCACACAGGGAGAAGAAAGAACCAAAGATGAAATAGTGATGCAGCAGGGGTCGGGGATGACCAGGTGTTCATGGGAAACAAAAGACCACGAGGCAGCCAGAACCTTGGTTTTATTGATTCCATCTGGTCAAGGACAAGGTGGAGGCAGTGAGTGTGATCAGGAAGAGTAATGGTGACTACAGAGGGCTAGGAAGAAGAACAAAGCATTCTGGCAAGGACACGGATGAGACGGGGTGGAGGCACAATAAGGAAACTGAAGTTTCTCCAGGTACCTTATCACTTGCAGGAAAATTTATCTTTTTTCTCTTTTCCAGTCAGATTTTATTGGTACATTTTAGATACATATAATGATCACATTCATCATAGAGAATTTGTACCTGTACATGATATAACTTTTTCTTTTCCCCCCATTTCCCTACCCTTCTTTCAACCCCTTTTCTCCTCTCCGTTTACAAAAGTTTTGTTTCCATTTTTTCCTTCTTTTCTTACTTTTTCCTTCTTTCTACACCTCCTCTTCCCATTTGAACATTTTCTTCCTATTTCATAATACCTATTGTGCATTTTGATCCTCATTTTTACTTTTGGCTTCTCACAGTAGAGAAACAATTCAGTACTTATGCATGTGTGTCCAATTTATTTCACTTAGGAATATGGTCTCAAGGTGCATCCATTTACCTAGAAATGTCTCCAGTTTATCCTTCTTTGTGGCAAAGGAGTGCTCCATTGTACAAGAAGCCCACATCTTCTTTATCATTCGCCAGTTGGTGGGCATTGAGGCTGTTTCCAAGATTTGGATATTATACACTGTGCTGCTATGAACATAGCTATGCATCTATCTTTGTTGTAGTGTGATGCTTTAATTCTTTTGGGAAGATACTCAGAAGGGGAATAACTGAGTCGAATGGAACCTCTAGTCCTAGTTTTTTGAGGAATCTTCACACTGATTTTCACAGAAGTTTCACCAGTTTACAATCGCACCGACAGTGAAGGATTCCTTTATCTCCCCATCAGCATTTGTCATTGGTTAATTTCTTAATGATAGCCATTCTTTCTTGGATGAGATAGAATTTCAGCATTGTTTTAATTTGCATTTCTTAGTGACCAGTGACACTGAACATTTTTTTCTATTTATTTATTTATTTATTTATTTGCTATTTGTATTTCTTCATCTGAGAAGTGTGCGTTCAGCTCAGATGTCCATTTGTAGAGTGAGTCTTTAAAGTTGGGGGTGGGGGGGCTGGGAGAAGCGGAGCGGTGGTGAGTGACGCGGCGGAGGTGTAGTTCGATGGGGTGTGTTACTTGGGGGAGAGAATAAAGTTCCAGCAAGATCCGGGCCGCGAAAGCAGTGACGGAGGCGCTTG